CACAAATGACAAAAGCAAGAACAAAAAACGAAAAACACCTATACAGTAAACAACACAACCTCCCTCAGCAGATACATCCGAAGAGGACAGCAGAAAAACTGATTCCGAGGAGAGCTCCGAAGCTCCGATACCACGCCCACCACTGCATAGGCCTAGCAAGGCAATGATCCAAGCAGCGAAAAACAAATCGAGAAATCGACCCGCACTCCAACCACAAGGAACCACTATCTCCCCCCACCGGCTAACACCACTAGCCAATCCGACACCGTCCCGAAACCGACTATCTCCACTAGCCCGCATCCCAAAACAGCCGTCCTCCCACGAACTCGGAAACCGAGAAAGGGGAAGAAGGGGTAGAATGGCGCCTATGCTCAGCCGACTCGACCCAGCCCGCACGAAGCAACATCCGATCATCCCAACCCACAAAGAATAACCCGACTCATCCCCTCTGCACAAAAAAGGAGCCGACGACAGAAATCGAAAAGACACACACGGGTTTACCTCCGATCCAGACACGAAGAGACGCCCCAAACAAAGCAGACTCGAGCAACGCAAGCCTCATCCACGCACCTCCGCACCCCGCCGAGCTCCGATTCCGCTGAATTCCGGCGGCCATCTAGTGGAAGGGAGTCCGCCGAAACCCTACTGAGACCCAGTGGCGTCAGACCGTTGACGAAGGTGAAGCTGCCGTGGATGAGTGGTGAAGGCCGTCCACCAGACTATTCGCGATTTGACGAGAGCGAGGGTGAGTGAATTGGGGATCTGAGGAAGACGAGAGCGAGAGTTTTGAAATTGTACCAACTCCTCTTTGTTATTCATAACTTTTTAAAATATTTTTATCAACTTTATGGAGTGATATAGACTCTAACAATCTGATGTACCTGCTTGAAAGAGATGAGCAATGATGAGGAAAAACTATGGTATTTATATGGAGAGGTACTTAAGAATTTATTTTATCACCTAATCTTAGGTGATACCTTGAGAAAAATGAGTTGAACTTTCAGCTCTAATAATTGTTTAACCACTACTAGAGATGTTAAACGGTCCTTGGCCCGACGGGCCGGCCCGTTTAGCCCGGTAAAAAATAGGGTTAGGGCTTTTTATTGGTAGCCCGTTTAAATCAGGGCTTTTTAGGCTCGGACCGTTTAAACCGAAGCCCGTTAGGGCTAGCCCGAAACCCGCTAGGGCTGGCCCGTTTAAGTTGAGTTTGGCGTTTTAAATGTTTGCAGCAAGTAAGTAATATTCTCTTAGATTCATTGTATATTACAATTTTGCTCTTCCACAGTATGAGTTGTAACGGATTATAATGATTTTGAAAGATAATTATTAGCAATACTCTTATTGTACTCCACACAAAATATATAAGTAAAATTAGAACGACTAATAGGAAACACATGAAACATAATGATTAAATTTGTAATAATATAATATCGTAAAAATTTCCAAAGCCAAAATAAGTAGTAAAATGGTAATTGTAAGTAATAATCCGAATATTTTTCTCTTTTGGAAAAAATATGTTATTTAAGAGTTTGTAGTGTGTGTTCATATGTGATGTGTAGTTGTGTATATAGAGCGGTAAATACTAAATAGCCGTTGAAAACAATCATTAATTGGTCGTTGTATTTTTTATAACTTTTTTATTTTTATTTTTATTTTTGAGACATTATTATTATTATTAATAATATTATTATTGTAGCCCGCATAGCCCGTTTAGCCCGAAGCCCGCAAGGGTTAGGGTTAGGTCTTTTTATTGGTAGCCCGTTTAAATTCGAGCTTTTTAGGCCCGAACCGTTTAACCCGAAGCCCGCTAGGGCTAGCCCGAAACCGCTAGGACTAGCCCGTTTAACATCTCTAGCCACTACTAACAACTCATCAATATTGCTAAGGAATCAAACCATTAAAAATTTAAATCCAATTCATTGTCATGTGCTCTCACGAATAAAATAAACAAAAACTTTGATTTTGATGGCGCACTAAACTCTCGCCAAATAAGAACAAGTTGACGTGAATATGATGAAGAAAAAGCTCTCTTGTAGCTCATATAAAAATCCTTAAAAAAAACATTTTGGATAAAATGAAGACAATTCATCATTATTTGCTCAAGGCTTTCTCTACTCAAATGTCTAAATTTTTAAAACTCTTTTACAGAAAAATATTGTTCATATATGGTCTTGAAACATGCTAAAAAACCAAGAAAAATAAAATTTACAGAACCGAATTCGGACTTACAGAACGAACGGTTACCGTAAAACTGAAAATTCTCTCTCTAAATAATTTAAATAGACTAAAATGCCTAAATAAATTATCTTATTTAATTGAGATTTATAATGACTTTTAAAAACTTTTTAGGACTTTGTGTATTTAATTTAGACTTCTCAAGACTTTTAAAAGTCTTGAGGTATTCAATTAACATTTTAAAAAGTCTTACAAAATCTGGGGGTATTTAACTTATTTGAGTCTAGGATTTGTAAGGACTTTTTAAGATTTGCTGGGATTTCTAACGAAAAAAACATGTACGAAATACCACTACAAATCTCACTTCTAGACTTGGTATTTCACAGGATTTATCCAAAATCTGAAAATCTTAAATCTTAAAAAGTCTTTAAAGGTCACTCGAATTCCGAAACGAATACACCCTTATTTAGACAATACTATAGGTCCTTCTCACTTCTTTGCACATTTTTAACTTAAATGCTCACGGATACTTAACCGTACTCGAGACTTAACTTATCACGACTTCTCTCAAGGTGTTGTTTCTTAGTTTTCTCTCAAGAAATCTTGGACTCGATTCTTGTCTCGTCTCATTCTCATTTTACTTATCTCATTTAAACTAGGAATGACTAAGTTTACGACCATTTAGCTAAATAAAATGGACCGTTACTTAACTTTGTTTTAAATAACTTATTCTCTGGGAGCTTATTGTTGACTATATACTAACTTACTATCTATATAATTATATGGGTAAATTGTAAAGAATCTAGCCATAAAACCAAGATTTTTTTTAGAGAGATATTTGAGTGAAAAAATCTATCCATAAAAAAGAAATTGCAACTATTCTCCAAAATTGGAGAGTGAGAAAGAGAACCTTATCTACTCTGCATTCTGCAACACTGAGAGCAGCACACCCGCTATCCTCGTTACTTGCCTTCCCGAACTACAAGCCTCCCAAGAAATGGCAAGCTCGCTGTGCTTTGCACCTCTCATTTCCTCAAACGTAGTTGTGAACAGACCTGGTACCTCCTTGCTCCTTGTCTCTGTTTGTTTTCGAGTGTGCTGAGGTTCTCGGTTTCCACGTTTGTTTGTGACCTTAATTTCTGTCTTTTTTGTTCTGGGTCTGGATTTTTTTTTTTTT